TGATTCTGTCTCCCTGACAGAGTAGTCACGATGAACAAAATGGCGTTTGTTAAGCGTGGCACGAGCAGGTGCCATGTAAACATTACTTTGCACTGGTGAGACACTGATGTTACCCAAGGAAAGTGAGAGCTCTCTGGAGGGTTTGGAAAAGCTTGACTGCAACTGTTGGGGTCATGTGTAACTCAGCCTGCAAGTCCCAGGCTGGGTCGGGTGGCTTTGGAACTCTTTCTTCCTGTTGGATTCCTGAGAGGAGCCCTGGCATGGCCTGCTCTCTGGAACTGCAGCTTCTCTGGGATAGAACATTAGGACAGGGACCAAGAGCACCCTCAGAGCAGGAAGATGGAGGCCAACTAAAGTTACAAACTGTAGCAAGGCTAGGGCAGGGTGGGAAGGAGCCAGACAACGCTGGAAAGAACGTGCCAGACGCCTTGGGCAGCCCCACTCCCTGCCAGCCCCACTCCCTTAGGTAACCGAGTAGGGTCCAGGGTTGTCCTTTCCTCCACTCCGAAGGGAAACCCAGCAGAGGCCTCACCAGTCTCTGGAACGCTCAGTCCTTTCGGGCAGGGAGTCCCTTGCCAAAGCAAACAATCCCAGCTCTACGATTGTGCTCTGGCTGGGGTAGGGGAGAACAAAGATCCCTTTCTTTGCTTCCCTAAATCTATGTCTGCAGCCAAAGGCGCTGTTTACACAATCTTCCCTGGTGAAGAATTTGTTCCTTTTCTCTCTAGGTTGCAGCTGGAAAAGATTGATTCTCTCCCTGCCTATTGCTTTTTTCCCTCGTCCCTAGGCAGGAAAGAGGTCCAATATCCAAACCACCTACCCTCAAGAGAAGCACACTTAGGAATAACTAGGGCCTTTTGTGATGGGACTGAAAACCACAGTTTTGGTGGCAGAAAGTCTACCCCAGGAAGGGAGGGCGGCAGGGGAGACCGGGAGCCTGGCTCTCTCCAGCCCAGCTCCCATCTGTTCCACCCCTCTCTCAGCCCTTAGGCGTTTGCAGGCCCATTTCCACAAGGGACGCAGATCCTCAAAATCTAGGGCAGAATGGGGTCGTGCCTTTGAAAGGACGATAAGGTGGTTGAAAATGGTTTTTAGGAGATGATTTTCTTGAGTTTATCATTAATTCCAGCAATGCACGACTCTTCCCCCAAGCCCCCAGAACAAAAGCAGGAGGCAGAAGAGGAAACCCCGAAGTGGTGCAGTCTAATTTTAGCACTGGCAGAGAATCCCAGTGTTAAGTTACGCCTGGTAAACTGGTAACTAGGAAACAGCAGAGACAGAAAACTTACACAATCTAAGTCTCCAACAAGAAGCTTCGAAACCCAATTTCATTAATTTCTATGGCATCTCAGGGAGGAAGACGAGCTTTGCCGTGTCACACAAGGGAGGAACCTGGAGCACAGGAAGAGTTATCCAAAGCCATCGAGTGTGCGTTAGTCGATCCTAGGACTCTAGGACTTGCAATCTGGTGGGCTGCGCAGGGCCAAGCTGCTGTTGGAAAATTGTATGGGTCTTTTAGAATGCACAGATTTTCCCTGAGCTAAACGTTCTCCCCTCTCTGCAGTCCCCAGGGACTACTCTCCTGTTGCTAAGGGAGCTATGGGCTGGCTGTTTGCTGCCCTTTGCAGCTCTGTTTTGGAAACCTGAAGTCCCTGCTCCTACTGCTGGGCGATGTGGATGGCAAAGCAATGGAGGGCGGAGGGGCCGTGAGTCTGTTTAGGTTTGAACAACCCCCCCCCACCCCAGGCAAGATATGCAGTTTGTTTCTGTAAAAGCGGCTACACAGTTCCTGGAAGGCTGTAATCCACCATGGTTAAAAATATCCATCTTGGGTACAAAGCTGAGCCAACAAAGCTGAGCCTACGCAGGGACCAAGAAAACAGCAGTGGGGTAAAATGAACCCAGGAGTAGGCAAAATGCTACCTATTTGCAAGATGGCAGCAGCGATAGCAATTATAAGAAAAACAAACCCATTGCCTTCACTGAGAAATCTCAAAAATGGTCCGCTCTGGTCTCGTCTTCTCCTCCAGTGACATCCTGGCCCCTGGACGCAGTGCGGGGTAACGCAAGGCGCTTTGGTCATGGGTTACTATTCTACCCCTTCCTATCTAGATAACCTGGAGAACTAGCGAACCGAGACTTCGTTCTCTCATCTGTTAAAACAAGGGGAAAATGGCAGGCATGGTGCTATAGTGGGTTAAACCATCGCTTTGGATGCCTGCATCCCATACTGGAGTCCTTGGGATTGAGTCCTGCCTCTGCTTCTATCCAGCTTCCTGCTAACGTGCCTAGGAGGCAGCGGTGGATGATGGACAAAGTGCTGTCATGGGTTTCTGTCACCCATGTGGGAGACCCAGATGGAGTTCCCTGCTCCTGTCATATGTCTGGCCCAGCCTTGGCTGTTGTAGGCATCTGAACTTGCAAGATGTCTCTCTCTCCCTCTGTCACTCTGCCTTTCAAATATATAAACTTAAGAAATAGCTGTGGTAAAATGGCATAGCATACACGCTTGGTTTCAATGTCTTTCCTCTGCTAGCTTTCCTGAGCTAGATCAGACCCAGTGACGTTAGGAGGCAGAGGGTCAGGTAGGTCAACTTCTGGAGTTTCTGTTCAAGACCCAGATGAGACTTGACTCCTACTGCAGATTAGAATGTTGCCTTTGTATTAGCTTTCTAATTTGTCAAAAAAGATTTTATTTATTTTATTTGATAGGTAGAGTTAGAGAGATACAAGGAGAGAGATATTCCTTCTTACTGGTTTACTCTTTGGATGACTACAAAGACCAGGGCTGGGCCAACTGAAGTCAGGAGCCTAGAACTCCATCCGGGTCTCCCACGTGGGTGGCAGCAGTCCAAGCACTTGGGCCATCCTCCACTGCTTTCCCAGGCACATTAGCAGGGAGCTGGATGGGAAGTGGAGCAGGCGAGATCTGAACTGGTGCTCAAATGGAAAATGCCAGCACTGCACGCTGCTGCTTAACCTTGGTGTGCAACAGTGCCAGCCCCAGCTTTCTATTTCTGTATAACAAATTACCACACTTAGCAGATTAAAAGAACAGCCATTTGTCATCTGATTATTCCTCAACTATGTCCGTGTGTGTGTGTGTGTGTGTTTTCTCACTTTTTTTTTTTTTTTTAATAGGCAGAGTTAGACAGTGAGAGAGAGAGACAAAGATCTTCCTTTTTCCATTGGTTTACCCCCCAAGTGGCCGCCATGGCTGGCGGGTTGCGCCGATCTGAAGCCAGGAGCCAGGTGCTTCCTCCTGGTCTCCCATGCGGATGCAGGGCCCAAGGACTTGGGCCATCCTCCACTGCCTTCCGGGCCACAGCAGAGAGCTGGACTGGAAGAGGGGCAACTGGGACAGAACCAGCGCCCCAACCGGGACTAGAACCCGGGGTGCCAGTGCCGCAGGCAGAGGATTAGCCTAGTGAGCCGCTGCGCCGGCTTCTCACCTTTTAAGTAAACTTTACCACTTTGTGCACTATATGTGTCTGTGCTTAAGTAGACGGTGGGGACCTGGAATAATTCATCTCTACCTCCCCCACTGCACTTGGAGATTGTGGCAGTGAAGTCTGCTGATTTGGGGTCGCTGACAGCTTTCGGAGGCTCCTTCCTGGTCCCAGCGCAGGGCCCACTCATCTTCAGCAGCGGCGCATTCATTCCCTTCTTCTGTGTTCTCCTCTGCCACCAGCCTGAGAAAGCCTGCACTTTTACAGGTGCATGTGATTAGATCAGACCCACTCCATCTTAAAATCCACAGTGCCATCTCCCCTAACCAGGGCAGTGACAGCAAAGTCACAGGCTCTGAAGATCAGATCCTGGCATCTTTAACAAGTCACTTAAAAAAAATTCTGCCTCCCACAGTACTCACTGAAAATATTAAGAAATGATGAGTGAGAGGGGGAACTGGGAATAGATCATCATCTCTAACCCAAACCTCTTGCCTGGTATTCTATCCATACCATCTCCTGCCATTTCTTTTATTTATTTTTTCTCCTGCCATTTCTTTTATTCATTCATTCATTCATTCATTCATTCTTCTCCTGCCATTTCTGAAGTGGCTACTTTGGTCACAGTGTACTCATGTTCATAGTGCTTTGAGGTAGATGCTCAAAAGTAATTTCAAGAAATGACTGGAGACTAAAACATCTTTCCATGTTTTAGTTTGTTCTCATCAAATGGTGAGAACAGCAGGCTGCCCAGAGGTGTGTCCTAAGCACACACGTTGGAAAATGCATGCCATGTTGAGATGGGCTCAATAAACACAAAGTTTCACCACTCAAAACTTGGAGGACTTGGGGCCAGCGCTGTGGCGTAGCAGGCTAAGCCTCCACCTGCAGCGCCAACATCCCATATGGGTACTGGTTTGAGTCTTAGCTGCTCCATTTCCGATCCAGCTCCCTGCTAATGACCTGGGAAAGCAGTGGAAAATGGCCCAACTCCATGCACCTGCATGGAGGCCCTGGAAGAAGCTCCTGGTTCGGATCAGCCCAGCTCTGGCCATTGTGGCCATTTAGGGAATGAACCAGCGGATGGAAGACTTCTCTCTCTGCCTCTCAAATAAATTTTTTTTAAAAGATTTATTTGAAAGTCAGAGTTATAGAGAGAAAGGAGAGGCAGAGAGAGAGAGAGAGAGAGAGAGAGAGAGAGAGGTCTTCCATCTACAGGTTCACTCCCCAATTGGCTGCAACGACTGGAGCTGCACCGATCCAAAGCCAGGAGCCAGGAGTTTCCTCTGGGTCTCCCACACAGGTGCAGGGGCCCAAGGATTTGGGCCATCTTCTACTGCCTTCTCAGGCCACAGCAGAGAGCTGGATCGGAAGTGGAGCAGCCAGGACTCAAACCAGTGCCCATATGGAATGCCAGAACTGCAGGCAGTGGCTTTACCCACAACGCCACAGTGCCAGCCCCTCCAATAAATCTTAAAAGAAACATCTTGGAGGACTGGGGTAACATTTGCTCACCTGTGTGATGCTACCATTTCCCTTTTCCTGTTTCAGAATTCAACTGGAGTCCTCCATCTCATCTCGCTTCTCTTGAATGAAGGTAAACCTGCCCTAGACTGGTTCCTGGATACCAACTCAGCCAGATCACCAGTAATGCTCCCAAGCAGCTTTCTCATCCTGATGACCTTGAACTACTAGATCCATCCTGAGAGGGAGGCTGGAGCTGGGCTCCTCATTACTGCTGTTTAGCATTTAGAGGACTTTCAAAGGGCACTGTTTACTTCTAATTAGGAATGGTGCAAGCCTGTTGACACTGCTCCCTTGGTGCCCAAGAAACACAATCAGCTGTTGAAGAAACTGAGAAAGAAGCAGAGACAAACAAGTCTTGCTGCCTCCAGCATGGCTGGGTTCTACTCTCCAGATGCCTTCTAGCCAGACTTCAGCACGGGCGGAAACCAGGGTCCCAGAAAGTTCCTGCTCAGTGATCCGCCCCACGTTACAGGAGCTAGAGATTGGGAAGGGTCTCCTGACCTCACAGCAGGTGCTTTTTTTTTTTTGACAGGCAGAGTGGACAGTGAGAGAGAGAGACAGAGAGAAAGGTCTTCCTTTTGCCGTTGGTTCACCCTCCAATGGCCGCCGCAGCCGGCGCACCGCGCTGATCTGAAGCCAGCAGCCAGGTGCTTTTCCTGGTCTCCCATGGGGTGCAGGGCCCAAGCACTTGGGCCATCCTCCACTGCACTCCCGGGCCACAGCAGAGAGCTGGCCTGGAAGAGGGGCAACGGGGACAGAATCCGGCGCCCCGACCAGGACTAGAACCCGGTGTGCCGGCGCCGCTAGGTGGAGGATTAGCGCTGGCCAGCAGGTGCTATTCTACAACTCCAAGGACGGGCTTTCATCACCATGCTATCCAAGGTGAAGAGATCTCCAGAAGATCTGTTCTTAGACCCTGTTTCTCTACTAAAACATAGCACTCCCCTAGCCCAGGGTGTTGGCAATTTGGATTGCCCGTAACTCTCTCCCCGGGGCCTGAAGCTGAGAGGATTCAAGGCACCTGGACTCCTAAGGAAATTTGCTGGCAAGCTTCTTGAAGAACCAGTCATCACTGACTTCAGAGAACAGAGATGTGCAGGCCACCAAGCTTGGCTGTCTCTGAGCACCTGCCTTGTTGAGAGGTTAGCCCAACTCAGTTCCCAAGAAGGTACCAGGGTGACTCGGGACGGGGAGGGCCAGGGCAGCAGAGCCTCCTACCAGTAGCTCTAATTTAAGGGAGGGCTCTTCCTCATTCCCTAAGAGGTAGATTCCAGAGAATCTATATCTGGAGAAGACAAAGCCAGGACCTGTTCCTGTGAGGCCCATAGCCCAGAGGAGTTGAGGATGGTGTGACAACTGGATACATCCCTCTCACCCTCCAGGACAACTGCAGAAGGGCCTGGGGGTTGTGGCGAATGATACAGAGCAACATGCTTCCAGAGCCCGTTTCCCGGGGGTCAAGTCCCCGTCGTGAGCTTTAATTTCAGTTACTTACTAAACACCTCTACGGTCATCTCCATCATCACTTCGGAAAGAACATGAATTGACACATCCAGTCACTTCAGCAAGAGATGACCTGGGCTCGCTTATCCCTGCCTGTGAACGCCTGGGAGATCCTTTGACCTCCCAAGGTCGATTTCCTCACTTGTGAAGGGAGGGGGGTTGGAACAGACGATTAAAGTTGACTAAGTACTTGCTCTATTTTTTAGGGCTACAGAGATGTACAGACCAGTACCAGATGAAACCCGTTGCTTACCAGCAAGCTTCCCTGGGTGCCCGATGTATGAAGAGTCCACAATCATCATCTGCACACCTGTTGCACAGAAAGGTGCTATCCCACAATAGCTGTTGTTGCTGAAAATCTGCTTTTCTACAGTCCCAGGTACTCCCAGACCTTACTGGCTGCAGCCAACATTGTAACTGCAGCCTGCAGGTGCCTTAGCATTCATTATTTAAAGGACACATCTGCAGCCACCATCTTTGAACAAGTGATGTACGTCAAGATGCGATTTGTCAGCGGGCGGGCTGCTGTCCAACAATACTGCCTCAAGAAACTGACCTCACACTTGGAAGACAGAGTGCCCTGGGCACACCCATTCTCAATTTATCATGGCCCCTGATTATTATAAAGGAGATACATGCTCTACAGTCATTTATGGGGCTAATACTCATTTGATGAGGGTGAATGGAGATCAGAAAATGACTTCATGGATGTAGACGGCATTTAAGCTAAATAAGGCTACTAGAGCTTGAAAAAGAGCAAAGTGAGGAAAGACTTAAGGAGAGAGATGGGCAGAGGCACACGGCAAGGCTGCAAGATAGGGAAGGAACGCTTGAAAAATGACCACTAGTGAGGAAGCGGAGGCAGTGTTTGGATGGGTGATTACAGAACCAGTCCTGTAGGTCAGGAAGAGTCACCTAGCAGCGCTGGCTAGAAATGTGTGTGTGTGTGTGGGGGGGGGGAGCCCGCAGGAAAACCTCCGTGAAGCTCCACAGTAGACCTGGCGGTGGCAGAGCCGGAGAGGACGTGGCAGCATGAGAGCAAGCCCAGAGTCGGCACCTGACGTCAGCGCTCTGAGGCGAGCAGCAGCTGTGTCAGGTGATAAGGACGCAGTCTTCCCGAAACAAATGACCACAGCAGACCCGCGTGGCGTTCCAAACCAGCACACCGCGCTTCAGGCCTCGTACTCTCGACCAAAGCACTGGGCAAACCGCGGGGAAGGAACGCACACAGGACACTCAGCAGGCACCTTATAATACAGTATTTATTTGTCTTCCCTCTGTCAAACCCTGAGCCAACCACTTGCCCCAGGTGTCCTGGGAAGGTACAGGAACGGAAATGCACAGGGCAGACGAGGATGGGACAAGGACCTGCGGGAGGTGGCGACGACTCTTTCACATGGCGAAGAGGATGAGAAAGGCCACCATCAGGCAGAAGAGCCCCATGGCCTCCGAGAGCGCAAAGCCCAGAATCGCGTAGGAGAAGAGCTGCTGCTTCAGGGAAGGGTTCCTGGGAGAAGGGGGGGAGAAAAATTGAGCTTCCAGTCCACACTAAGGAGAGGGCAAACATCTAAGCGGCTCAGAGAGACCTCTCTCCTCCAAGCTCATCTGAGGTTTTAGGGGTGATGCCATCATGCCCTAATTCTTGCCCTGATGCACCAAGGACTCTTCAGGGATTGAATGAGGGGGGAGTGGACAATGACCCAAGCACACATATTATCTTGTCAATGGACCACCCACATTATGACCATAATTTAATACCAGTGAGGCTAGTGCTATGGCATAGAAAGTAAGGCCGCCGCCTGCAGTGTTGGCATCCCATACAGGCGCCAGTTCGAGTCCTGGCTGCTCCACTTCTGACCCAGCTCTCTGCTGTGTCCTGGGAAAGCAGTGGAAGATGGCCCAAGTCCTTGGGCCCTTGCACCTGTGTGGGAGACCTGGAGGAGGCTCTGGCTCCTGATAAGACACAGATTGGTCCATTGTGGCCAGTTGGGGAGTGAACCAGCAGATGGAAGACCTCTCTCTTTGCCTCTCTGTAACTCTTTCAAATAAATAAATCTAAAAGAAAAAAAACAAGAAGGAAAGAAAACAAAGACCTATGGGCCTATCCAAGGCCCACACTGTACAGCAGAGGCATCGAGTGACAGGGTTATTCTAAAGCAGTGAGTTAAGCTGTGGAACTGCAAGACAGGAAACACAGAAGCCAAACTACAACAGCACTAAAGCAGCAGGGGCATTTTAAAGGCTCGTGGTCTCCCCTTCATTCACTTAAGACAGTCTTCGGACACAGCCTCACAACTTCATGGGACACAGAGAAAACCCCGTTCCAGAGCCCAGGAGAGTCAGTGACCACCTTCTTTCATTTCAGAATAACCAAAAGTTTCAGAGCTTTAAGCTAAAAATGGCCAGTGGGGTTTATGATATGCGTCAACATAGAATAAAGGACTCCTGGGGCCAGTGCTGTGGCATAGGTTAAGCCTCTGCCTGCAGTGTCGGCATCCAATATGGGTGCGGCTGCTTCACTTCTGATCCAGCTCTCGGCTGTGGCCTGGGAAAGCAGAGGAAGATGGCCCAAGTGCTTGGGCCCCTGCACCTGTGTGGGAGACCGGGAAGAAGCTCCTGGCTTCAGACTGGTGCAGCTCTGGCCATTGCGGCCATTTGGGGAATGAACCAGCAGGTGGAAGATCTCAGTCTTTTTCCTTCTATCTCTGCCTTTCAAATAAATAAATCTTAAAAAGACTCCGATATATAATTTGGAGTTCTCATTCTGTGACACCTCAGCTGCAACAGGGAAGGCGGCACAGCACTGGCTTTTAGCAGAACTGTCAGGTGTCCTGCTTACCCATCTCCCCAGGACGTTAGGAAAACATACAGGTCTAGAGAGTACCGATTCAGTTCTGACAGAGCTGCTGGGGACCAAACAGTTCCTGGTGCCAGCAGGGAACTGCCTGCGGGAGGCGCAGCGGGTGGAGTCACCCCACCACCTAAGGCTCTAGCCCAGAGGCAGCAAATTCTCTCCGTGAAGGGCCAGGTCCCATCTTAGGCTCTGTGGGCCATTTACGGCTTGTCATCTTTCTTGATTTTGATTTTTTTTTAAAGATTTTATTTATTTATTTATTTGACAGGTAGAGTTACAGTGAGAGAGAGACAGAGAGAAAGGTCTTCCTTCCGTTGGTTCACTCCCCAAATGGCCGCAATGGCCGGAGCTGTGCCGATCTGAAGCCAGGAGCCAGGTGCTTCCTCCTGGTCTCCCATGCAGGTGCAGGGCCCAAGCACTTGGGCTATCCTCCACTGCCCTCCCGGGCCACAGCAGAGAGCTGGACTGGAAAAGAAGCAACCAGGACTAGACCTGGCGCCCATATGGGATGCTGGTGCCACAGGCGGAGGATTAACCTAGTGTGCTGGCCCTTGATTTTGTTATTCACATAATTCTACACACTGATGGACACAATGTAACATTTTGTGACATGCACACTTTGTGTAAGGATAAAATCAGGGCAAACATCAGATGTAGTGAGAGCAGTCAAAATATTTTAGCTACTTTATTTTTTTTGACAGGCAGAGTGGACGGCGAGAGACAGAGAGTTTTTCCTTTTCCGTTGGTTCACCCCTCAGTGGCCGCTGCGGCCGGCACACTGAGCTGATCCGAAGCTGGGAGCCAGGTGCTTCTCCTGGTCTCCCATGCAGGTGCAGGGCCCAAGCACTTGGGCCATCCTCCACTGCCCTCCCAGGCCACAGCAGAGAGCTGGCCTGGAAGAGGGGCAACCGGGACACAATCTGGTGCCCCGACCGGGACTAGAACCCAGTGTGCTGGTGCCGCAGGCAGAGGATTAGCCTAGTGAGCCGTGGTGCTGGCCCTATTTTAGCTACTTTAAAATTAAAATAACTTTTAGAAAAATGCAGAAACCATTCTTAGCTCAACCGTACAGAACCAGGCTTTGGCTCAGCTTTGGCCCTCAGGCCTTCGCCTGCCAGTCTCTGCTCTAGACCCAACAAAAGTTCAACAGGACGTCTTTCAGTGACGTAAGTGCTGCCTCTGCACTGCTGCTGTGGCTGTCTCTAACCACACGTGGTTACCGAGCAGTGGAAATTTGGTCAGTGTGACGAGGAACTGAAAACCCAAGTTCGTTCGATGTGTTGTTAATTAATTAAAACTCAAATTCAAAATAGCCTCATGTAGCTACTGCAAAGGATACTGCAGCTCTAGACCCCGGACCTCTACAGACCCTTTCAGGGGGCAATGGGGGCTCAACTTCTCTTACCTGGCATAACCAATGATGAGGCTCCCAAATACAGTCCCGATCCCAGCCCCAGAGCCAGCCACCCCGACTGTGGCAGCCCCGGCCCCAATGAACTTGGCTGCTGTGTCAATGTCCCTTGAGACAACGCTGGTTTGGAAGCTACGGCTCTGGAGAAGTGGGGTCAGGGGACATGGGGCTGCCACGCTGCTGAGGCGCTGTGAAGAAGAGGCAGGTAGAAGGTCAAGTTTTTTTTTTTTTTTTTTTGGGGGGGGGGGCACCGGTTTTTGCTTTGGAAATGTTTGCGCAATTTAAACCCTTTGTACTGTCAAGTCTCATGGTTTCTTTCCCAAAGGGGAAATTGGTTCACTCACTGAAAACTCCCCCAAAATGCTGGCAAGCAGAATCTTTTAATGTAGAAGGCGGACTTCAAATACTATCAAGATTCAGGGGTGGTCTGGAAGTGTTACAACTGAGGCCCTAGCCTATTCCTGTCGCCCCATGGTGATCACATTCCTGGAACAATTAGATGCTCCCACAGAAGTCAGCCGACTAGGCCGTTACAGCAGTTAGCAGTTCATCTGGGCGCGTGTGCTGCCGGTGGCAAACGCCCAGCACTAGTGCATATATCCTATTAACTGCCCATCATCCCCACCTACAGCCAACGGCCTTGATCCTGGACTAATTGTAGTCCAGAATGCTTGTCCTCAGCGCGCACTCCCCCTACTGGTTCTAGCAGGTAACCCTCCCCACCGCTCACCCTCCAAAACCAGTTCCAACTCCACCTGTTAAGGTACCTCATCTGTCAGCGGCTCAGGTCTCTTGAGCACCACTGCGGACAGCGGCCGGCTCAGCAGCTGCGAGGTGCTCCTGGCCTGGCGGGAAGGACACAGGTCAGGAAGGTCAGTGGAGGCTGGAGAGGAGTTTCAGAACCTCACCAAGCAGGATCTTCCGCCTGCCAGTGCCCCTGCCATGCCTGTTCTTACAATCCTGCATCACTCATCTTTACTTTTAGTACGTTCTAGGTTCAAGAACCTCAGCATTCCCTTGCTTTCAGGCTTTGCTCGAAGGAAAGCCTGTCTACTTCCTCTTGGACCCCAGGAGGTTTTCACCCTTGCTCTATCTTGCCCAGAGCTTCCAGGAATTAGGAGAAACCTGAGCCCCAGAAGCACATTGGTAACGGCCAGCTCAGGACAAAGAAGGCCAGGACGGGGCCATCCCCCTGGTGGCCTCTGCTGATTGACCCCATGCCAGGGCCTCCAAAACAGCAGCAGGGGTGACAGCCAGGCTTCAGGGCCAGAGATCCAGATTCCAATCTTAGCTCTGCAGGAGCTGTGTGATCTCAGGGTAAGTCACTAAACCTTTCTAAGCCTGCTTTCTCATCAAACGGAAAACTCCTGCAGGGTTGGTAAACTCAGTGCCAGGTACCTACTAATAGCACGGCCCTTTTCCTCTTGGGATGAACCAACTCCCTGCACCATCCAGTCGCTTTTAATTTCGCTCTTGCTTCTGAGTCAAACACCTTCCCAATGCATATCTAAGCTTCTCCAATACAGAAGATCCGACATAAAGCTATGTAATCTACTTTCTGGGGACCAACTCGGGCTGGTTCCAATTCACAGGCACACAGTTTCAGAAGTAGGAGCAGGGTTTCCATCAGTGCCCCTAAGACTGGAGATGAGAATTAACGGCCCCCGAGGTATATGGGCAGGGGGACATCTGCCAAGGGCTTTTCCTTCCCCGCAATCAAATGTATCCCCCATAGCCAGCTGTAAAGAACAAGGTGCAACAGCAAGGCAGAGGGACGATGCCCCTTCTTAAAAACCCTCCCAGAGGGGCCAGCACTGTGGCGCAGTGGGTTAAAGCCCTGGCCTGAAGCACCGGCATCCCATATGGGCGCCGGTTCTAGTCCCAGCTGTTCATCTTCCTATCCAGCTCTCTGCTGTGGCCTGGGAGAGCAGTAGAAGATGGCCCAAGTCCTTGGGCCCCTGTACCTGCACAGGAGATCCGTTAAGAAGCTCCTGGCTTCGGATGGGCACAGCTCCGGCCGTTGCGGCCACACCTCTGTCTCTACCTCTCTAACTCTGTCCTTCAAATAAATAAAATAAATCTTAAAAAAAAAAAAAAAAAAAAACCCTCCTAGAAAAAGCAGGGACTCACCAAAGAGGGCGTGGAGACGAACTTGGA